TGGGGGTGGGGGTGGGGGTGGGTGTGCGCGTGGGTGGGTGGGTGGGTGGGTGGGTGGGTGGGTGGGTGGGTGGGCGGGCGGGCGGGCGGGTGGGCGGGTGGGTGGGTGGGTGGGTGGGTGTGTGCGTGGGTGTGCGCGTGGGTGTGCGCGTGGGTGTGTGGGTGGGTGGGTGGGTGGGTTTGTAAGTTTTGCCTTTCTGCCTGGAATGAGGGCCGGCCACCGTCACAGAGTGCACCTTCGAGACCGCCGAAACAGAAAGCGTCGACTATGTCAGAAGTCACGTCAGCCGCAGGCTTAGACAATTTGTCGTGGGCATCATCTCCAGTCAGACGCGCAGGAAGATCTGAAAGTCATGCGATACCTCGCCACTAAACCTCGACTCGATCTTGTACACATGTATGTGGACAGGACCGGTCTTAGATGATTCGCTCTAAATAATTATTCGGATGACAGTGACATCCGCCGTTCAGAAGAGCCAGTCTTGTTAAGGGTGGAGATGATCAGCGGCCTGGCAGCAACAGATGAGCCAGTTTTCCAATCTTCGCCAAAAGATGTGGCCTTGTAGGGCCTAGCCTGTGGCGAGCCGTTTGAAGCAACCAAGCTCCGAGCCTGCAGCCTTCATGTGCCATATGGAGGTCTAGCCCAAAGGGAGACGGTGGGGGTCGCGCTCGACGCCTGTCCCTCATCCCTGCAGGACAGGCGTGGGAGTTTTATAACGACATCACATATGTTGTGCCACAGCTTGTCTGCTGGGTTCGAATTATTGAATTCTGCAGACCGTTTCAATGTAGTGCAGGGTCAATGTCTGTCCGTCCGAGTGCATGCTGGGCTGCGGATGCCCGAGCCTTTGGAGCTTTGTCTGTCTGTCTAGCGGGTCGATCCGGAGGGAACCGGAGGGGCGAAAAGAGGGATCCGATAGAGTCTTTGTTTGAGGAAGTTGTCTTGTGCCTGTGTATGTGTGTGTGCTTGCCGTTGCTCCTGTCTGGCGTGTGAGGTTGCGTGTTGCAGGGAGGCACGTGTTTGCAGTGTCGTGTTTTGATAGGTGGGAGCTTGCAGATGTTGTCGTGTGCCGCAACAGTGCGACATGCTCACACTTGAAGCTGTGTGGCTGAAGCACAGTGATCGTTGTTTTTGCCGGCGTGTAGACCGGGAGCAGAGTGCGGGAGCCGCCCTGATTTTCGATCTCCCGCCCGCCCTTGCCCGGTCGAAAATCTGGGCAGGGGTCACCGTTTGTCAGCGAGAGGCTGATAGGGGATTGCGGCTGATGCATCGTTTGTCAGCTCTTAGGCTGATGTTTCATGTTGGCTAAGAAAGTCCTTTAGCCATGCGGTCAGTGTAGATTCTGGCTGTACTTACCACCACCTTTCAAAAAGAGAGAGCGTTTGCACGCAGTGGTCTTGCTCTTGGTTTGTCTTCAGGGGTTGGTTTCCCTGTTGTGTTCAGGGTCCGGACTCGGTAGGATCCCTCTGCCTATCATCTGCGTTTTTGTGTGTTTGTCTTGATTGTCTGTTGTGTCTCTGACGCTTGGTCTGTCGTCTGGCTCTCTCTGTCTCTCTCTCTCTCTCTCTCTCTCTCTCTCTCTCTCTCTCTGACGCTGGCTCTGTCTCTGTCTCCCGCCGACTCCCTGTGGCCGGTAGCTGCAACTATCACAGTCTCTCTGTGTTCAACCAGAGGCAGTTGAATGACTTTAAATTGGCGGTTGCTTGCATTGGCAATAGGATGGCCATATGCGTCAGCGCAGAGTATCACATTCCATGAGCCTCGAGATGCAAGTCCAAGCTTCAACCCGGTGTCAGGTCAAAGCAGGAACTGGTGCGAGATCACCCCCCCTTTTGCAATGGCAGCGGTATGCGGTGAAGACGGGTTGGGTGGGTACTCGTACTGTGTTTGTGCACATGAACATAGACAAGCATAAATGTAGTCTTACGTGCAGTCACTGACAGAGAGATCCGGGTCGGCGTGATGTCACCCATTCTTGCAAGCACCAGCTTTGGGCCGGCCTGCCACGTTCGTAAACTCCTAGCCAAACTTGTAGATAGGGCGCGGATGGCTGTGCCGCTCGTCAAGTCATGTCAAGCAATGTAAATTAAAATTGTTAAAGCCATACTAATATCAGGCCCAAGCGCTTAGAATTGCAACACTGAAGCCTTTGTGTCTGAATCCCTCGCCTTGTCTGAATGCGATCCTCTGTGTAGCATTTGTCCCAGAAGTTGTTTCGCCCCGGCTTTGTAGCAGGACAGCTGCAACGCCAACTCTCATTTGCGGACGAGTCGATGGACGAGCTTGTTTCACATATCCGCGCAGAGGAACCGCAATTGGATTGGCTCGATGCCCGGCGAAAGGCGCACGAGAAATGCACCAATCGACAGCACTATGTATAGCATGCGGTTGCCAAGGAAGACTTTTGGAACCGTGTGCTCGTGGGAACGCCTCCCACCGAGTGCCGGAACTTGTCTACGCGCTCCATTGGCTACTGGGTGCGCCCACAAAGGGATTTCAGACCCGGCTAAAGGGCGAGAAGCAATAGTTTATAGGGCCGACCAAAAATGCAGAATATTCAGCTGGCGGGAATGAGATCTCATCCTGCTAATTAGGAATTGCTAGTGATTGCCAGTGCCTGTCTCAGATCGGACTTTTCAATCGATGGCAAGCCATGGGTTCATGGACTCTCGGCCAAATATAATTCAGACCATCACCCCACGAGGTGAAGCCTTTTGAAAGCAGATGCATTTTCCATTATACAACTTGAAGTTTGGTGGTTTGTATGGCAGGTTGTCATATGCTATGGTGAGGCACGGGTTTGAAGTTCAACATCCCATCCCACGTCTCATCCGAGGAAGCCAGGCAGTGCACCGAAGCCTCGTGGCGTAATTGCTGTGTCCATCGATTATGCATTCTTGCTTGTGAGATTGGCACATTTCACAGAGTCATTGCATGTTCGCTGTCGGGGCTCCGGCTCATTGAAATTGCTCGAACATGCGCCGTGAGTGGCGTATAGGAACTCAGAAAGTCCAACTGACTCAGATAGATCCTGTCGTTTTCTTGCTGCGGCAGTGGCTGTCTAGTGTCAGTTGCACACGCGGGATCGACCAAGATTCATGGATGCGTACGAGCTGCAAGAGTTGCTCTCCGTTGCCATGCCGATTCTTTGCTTGACTTTGCTGATTGACCTTTGGGTTCGTGGAGCTCATGAGTAAGCTACACTCCGGCACTCACTGCTTCACCGTGTGATCCGGTCAGTTCAGTTACCCAGTAGGTTCAGGCCCACTCGTAGCTCAGAGACGTCTTCGCTACAAGGAAAGCCCTTGAATGGGTCAAGCTCTTCGATCCTCCTGCGTATGCGCAGATTCAGACCACCAGGCCAGGTCAAGCAAAGCATGCGAAACTGGAAGCCACAGACTCCTTCGCAGTTCAGATCAACGCTGAAAGAGCTGAAACACAAACTCGCCCGCGAGTGCCTTCCCACAGCATCTTGCGAGGTCAGCGATGGACCACAAGAAGGTGAAGGTCTTGGTTCCTGCATTTCTAACATGTGGCATCTTCCTGTCAACCACGATCTCCAAGAGGCAAAAGATCCGGTTCTTGCTGCCTGGACTTGCTTGGCGGGCAAGCTGAAGTAGCGAGCCATAACACCATAGCATAGGACCATACGATGTATATGATCAGTGTTGCAGAGTCTAGGCTGGGTATGTTCGACGAGAATGACAGCCAGACGTTTGAGTCTTCCGAATTTGTGGAGATGATTCTTGGTCTGAGCTTGTGTCAAGAAGTACCTCAAATGTGAGGTTTAAAAGACTGGAGACTTGAATTGATCTGCTGACATCTTGTTTTGCTCACGCCATGGACCAAAGTGAGTGGCACACCCTATTTTCAGGATCTCCTCTTTTTTCTATGGCATCGCCTGTGCCTTCGCACTCCTGGACTTTCCAGGCGTTGCTCCGAAGAGCCTCATCGGCCATTGTCAAAGACATCGTGTTCCTTGTTCTTGCCGTGTTTCGAACCTATGCTGCCGACTTTGCTGGGACATCCAAGGCCGAGTGTGCGCCAGAATCTGGGAAAACATCTGTTCGACCGCGTGGTGAAGGGTGCCTGTTGCAGGGTGCCGTTCTGGGAAGTTCCCTGGTATACAATCTGAGATACGGGACATTTGCGACTGACTCCCCTGACCTGACCTGGCAGCGAGACACTGTCAAATCATGTCGATGGGCTAGCGGCCCAGCGGCTGTTCGCAGCAAGGCGAAGAAGATCAAAGCTGAAGATTCAGCACCGCTGTGGCTCATTGAAGAGTCACCTGCCTGCTAAAGATCTAAAGCTTTGGGTGATGGGTGTGGAAGGTGCGATGTGGTGACCCATGTCTGTGGGGTCAGGACGGGGTTGTCGCGTGCTTCAACCCACCGACTATGCACACAGTAAGCGGTAAACTCTGCTAGGAGCATAGCATATTTGAAAGAAATGTCAGCTGCCTTGGAAGTAGTGCGTACATGATCTGTCTGCCGCATGTTTGTCACAACCTTTGTCATCAACCAATTCAGACGCCCCACCCCCGACCCTGAGATTTTTCAATAGATGCCTCAAGTTTTCTGGGTAATGTGCAGGTTGTTCATTGAGGTGCCTCTGAATTCGCAGGTTTTTAAAACCTTTTCGGTTTTTAATAAAATCTTGCTGCTTGAGGAAATATGAGTATAAATGGAGTGTGTTACAATAGTGTTACAATGTTTTTCGGTTCTTAATAAAATCTCTTGGTTTGTTTAAGACAGGTTCGTTCAACCATTTTCTGGCTTCATCAGGGGGGCCGAGAACTGTTTACAAACCCTCTTTAAACGGCTTTTGGCGAGGGTGGGGCTTCCAAGTTCGCTGGCAACTTTGTCCATCATCGCTGCCTTGCTTCCTGCTGCCGCAGACTGTGCAGAAGAACTGGAGTAGAAAGCAAACGATGAGAATTGCAGTCGTGTGCATCAGAGGTGGTTCTTGGGTGAGACTGGAGACCCTCTCTCTGCTCCGTTTGCTATGCTGCTGGAACGGTTTTCGACGCGTGGCTTGGAAGATGATCCGGAGTTCTTCGAGGATGAGGACTGCCGCGGCCAGACAACCTGCACAAGCCCTACCAACTCCAGCCGGCTTGAAAGTTGTCTGCCCAGCTTGCAGGAAAGAAGGTTCAAGCTGTCCCACACTAGTCCAGTGGAGCCGCCGTTGGAGACGGCAGCCTCCCTGGACTCAAGCTCCTCAGCGCAAGCAGCGAATGCAGGGTTCAAAAAATTACTTTTCACTGCAAGGAGGAAAGTGTGGTGCTTTCGGCATACCGCAGGGTGCCTGGTAGGAGGTTCTTGGACTTGCTGTTGTCGGCAAATTCGCTGCCCACTTGCACGGCAATGACTAACAAAGGCTTTCTCCGCCGTGGTGAGATAGGCCGTCGAGTTGTTCTCGCTGCTTTTGAGAGGGAGAACCAACTTGACATGAACTTTGCACACAGCCGTTCCCGAGGTGCAGCATGGCACCTGCGATTTAGGCTGTAGGCATTTGTAGTCCAAGCACTACCAGTTGTCGGATTCGGAAACAGACAGGTTTTAGGAAGGACTAGTGAAGATTCATGTTGAGAAAACTTGAGAAAGCCGCTTGGCGGACCAACTGGATGAAAACGTGAGTTTGCAGGCCTGGTGCGGAAAGTGTATGACGAGTGCGAGAGGCAGCGTGATTTCTCGTTATCTCATGCAGATGTCGGGCGCCACCCGGTTGCACAAAAGGTGATGGCTGCAGTGCTACTAAGACCAGGGATAGTGGAATGCCGTAGACCTCCCATCCAATTGTGTGCCTGTGCCCTGCATTTGATGAGATGGAGCGAGTCTTTGCGAGGTGCACTTGGGGAGCTCATCCCTCCAGATCTATGGTGCAACCGAATCGCACGAGGTCCCATGTTCGGAGCGCCGGAGCATGCATGCGTGCCTGAGAGACGAACGCACACGTGTGTAGAGAATCGTGTTACCACATTGGCATATTTGGCTATGCCTGCCCCATACAGCAGTTGTTGCAGTCTAGGACAGCAAAACCAGCCGTCAAGCCCAATTCGCAGGCAGAGAGGTGCTTCTATCTTCATTGTTCTTTCTCGGTCTCTGGTTTCTTCTCTCGCAGCGGAGCTCTGTCTCTTTGCATCCTCTCTGTCTTGCGAACTTGCGCAGGTGCATTGGCACTCAAGCGCTTTCTGCCTTGTTGCTAACACCTGTCGCATGCAAGATCAGAAAAGCAAGCCAAGGCGGCAAAATATCAGTTCTAACTGCCGTAAACGAGCTGGGGCCGCTTCCTGCACAGGCAGCAGGACAGGATGAATGATATTGAAAAGCAGCAGCTTTGCATTCACAACTGAGGTTTGGAAGAGATGGAACGAGTGCGTGGGGTGGGCCAGATGCTTGCATCGATTGTCATCAGCGGTACAACGATGCCGACACTGTTTGGACAGAAGAGAGGCCAAAGCAAGAAATCGTATGTAGCGGCATTGCAATCGCTTTGGCAGAGGACGTCATAGCTTTCCTGATGTGCTGTGCCGTGGTAGTTGTCCAAATAATCTGAAAATGTGGGACACCAGCACATTCTTCGGCGCTGGTCCAAGAGGCCTTGCTATCGCTTCAGCTTGTAAGAGCGTGGGTCCATGTTGTCAGTTTGAGCTTTGTTCACTGCACTTAGGAAGACCAGCTTACCGCTCTTCCTCAAAAAGGTGTGCCCTAACGCGAAGCCTCGCCACCTCCGCATGTTCCAGACTTGGATGAAGGAGCCGCTTAAACCGCAGAAATGTGTTACAGTCCGCAGTCATACCCGTTTGCAAAGCGACCTAAGTGAGTGAGTTGTTTAGGCAAGTTTAACCATGATCAACCCTTGACAACAAAGAGGTGGATTGGTTGAAGTGGTTTGCTGACATGCAGTAGTCGTGTTAGCTGCCGATTCCCAGCTGATGCCGGACTCCAAAAAGTTTAACCATGATCCCGGCTCTTCTTGCCGGGGCTGTGAGGTTGGATCACATAGAGGATCTCAAAGTGCAATCAGCGACGTCTCGCCGCATGCAGCAGCATTTTGAAAGTTTCTCAGCTGCAGATCACGTTCGCTCGGTGTGACTGATGCACGGTCTGCCTCATTCAGGTTATGTCGCCCGGCCAATATTGCCGGCGCGTGTTCGGCAAGAGTTGCTGGAAGAGTTTGAGAGTCTTGCCTACGCCTCAAGCGAGGCCAGGAACGGGTGCAGTAGTCGATTCAGCGAACGGTACTGTAATGTGAGGATAGGTGAAGAGGGGTTTGGGGAAAAGGCTGGGCCTGTATCGTCTACTCTACCGTGCCCATTGGCCGGATACACAGCACGCTCCAATTAGCATGTGTCCTGCTTTGATGAAGACCTGGTCAACGTGACTGAAGTGTTGAGCGACATCTCGTCATGAGAAGCCGAATATCCTCCCCTTGCAGCCTTTGCACAGGAACGAGTTATGCAAGATGCCTTGCGCAAGAAATTCTTCGATAGAGGCTCAAGGGTGACCAAGGACACCATTTGCCCGTTGCTTCTCTACGATGTCGAATCTTTTCGTCTGCTGTCGTGAATGTCGTCCAGGCCCGTTCAATAGACAGTTTGCAGCTTTCAAGCCGTCGCACGAGCCCCGAATGTGCTAGGAGGATTACCTTGCTGCCATGTGCCCGACGGAGTTTCGGCACAAGGAAGGCAGCTTGGATGCCGATTCGGTCTCGTGCAAGATCAACGCAGAATACGTGCAGGAAGCGACCTTGCGGCGGCCATTGAACCAATCCGCAAACGTTTCAGGGTTGTTTTGGGCCCTTCGCGATAAGCCTACAGCAGCAACCGGCACCCCCTTCTCAAAAACTTCCTACGGCTATGCGGCGTATCTTTGAGACGAGTCTGCTCAGGCAACCCGGCCATCTATCAGGCCGTAGGCCTGTGGAGCTTGCCGAGTGGCTAGAGCGGCTAGAGTCTAGAATTCCTCGCGTATGCCAGCCATTGCTGTTCTGCTTCTGTGGTCATAGGCCAGCTGCTGAGTGCTTGGGCTGCAGTTTCTCTTTCGAGCAATTCGGGTTCGATGTGCTTTTCGCCGACGGAGAACCGAACTTTGCCAAGCACCTTGGCCGATTTGGGTTCGTTGTACCGAGGAATGCAGGTGGTTAAAGTGGAGGAGGCCCTCTCGCAGAAGGCTCGATGTGTGTCAGGTTGGCAGCTGCTTTGACTGACTGTCCTGCACATGATGAGGAGGCTTTGTTTGCAAAGAGTGGTGAAGTTCCGATTACGAGGTGGGCCGGATTTGTAGCACAAGGATGTGGTGGACACTGGTGGCATCGCTGTGCAAGTCTTCACACGCGCTCGTACGTGTGTACGCAAAAGCCTCAGAACAGGGAACCAGTGACGAGAAGTTTCCACCTGTAACCAGAGAGGATACCTTGCCGAGCAGGCTTGCGACAACGATCCTTCGACGGAGAACTGTCCTTCAACTAGTTACGTTCTGATTTTCATTTTGGATTCCTCATTCAGTAGGCCAAGATCTGAACGGTTGTGCCTGCCGCTTGGCCATGTAGGCCAATGTAGGCACTTGATAATAGCTTGATTAGGCTTGCTGCATACCTGGTCACCACCGGTTTTGCTTGCTTTGCATGCTCAGAGACTCAAAGACTTCATGTGACAGCTTAGTGTGAGCCCACAGGAGGAAGTTCATCAAGCACTCGGTTCCAGATAATCACTGGGCCTTGTGGAACAAAGCTTTCGATGCTTTCGAGAGCGGCACAGGCAAAGGACTGGACGGGACAGCGCAGTCCGAGTATAATATTCTGTGCACATGGGCCTTTATATTGTCATGTGAGCGCTATGTTTGTTAGTATGCATGCACGCATGCATGAACGTCGGCAGTGTGGCAGGTTGTAGAGTAGGCAGGCAGGGAAGCGGGCAGGCAGGCAGGTACCAGTAGGCAGGCTAGGCAGGTACTGTGTATGGATGGATGGACGGATGAATGAATGAATGGATGTAACGTAGGTATGTATGTATGGAAGCAATGTATCCGATGTAAGTATGTAAGACCTCGCAAGTGTATGAATGCCTGGCATGATATATGTGTATGTGTGAATGCCCGTCGATGTATCTATGTCAATGTATGTGACTCGATGCAGGTCCACCAATGTACATACGACCAGCAATATATAAATAGATGAATATAAATAAATAAATAAATATATATATATATATACATTCGCCAGCGTATATCAGCCAATGATTTGTTCAGGCCGCAATATCTATGTCAAATTTGTCAATGCATTTCAGTCATGGCAAGTCACTCACTGTATGTTTTTTATTGCATACTTAAGGTTTGTCAATCAAGTATGCTCACCCGTGTAAGTCTACGTACGTGTGCCACTGTATGTGTGCCGATGTATGTGCATGAATTAACCCATGCCAGTGCATGCATGTCAACGTGTATTTGTCTTTTACGTGAGTCAATAGACGTCCGCATGGCAATGTGCACATGTAGGTAGGTATAAGTACATCTGTGTATGTATGTATGTATGTATGTAGGTAGGTAGGTAGGTAGGTAGGTAGGTATGTATGTATCTATGTATGTATGTATGTGTGTGTGTATGTATGCATGCATGCGTGCGTGCATGCATGCGTTTCTGTACGTACGTAGGTGTGAAGATATGTATGCTTGTATATGTATGCATGCATGTATGTGCAGGCGTACGCATGTATCTGTTTTCTTCACCCTAAACTCAAAGCTGGGTCCGCGTTTTGAGTCGTAGGCATCAAACTACTTCTGGCAGCTATCTACCTGCGGGGCGCTGCTCACGGTTGACAGATTCCTGAATCATACTTAACTATGCAGTGCCTCTACATGAGAGCTGTTCACAATGAGTGGTTCGCACTGGGACTGCTGGTGATTCGTTGGGTATGTTTACCAGAAAGGGGTTTGTGTACCTGAGCATGTTCAACGAGTCCACGAGTCGCTTCCTAATGTTTGCACTCTGCTTATTGAAAGGTATACTTGGTATCCTGCAAGGTAGTTCCTTCATCACTGACCAGGCCTTGTCCATGTTATTTACAAACTTGCGGTGGTTTGCCTACTCTTCGAAATCTTGTAACCTCTCAAGCAGTGGCAACAGTGGACTCATGTAATGGGTTCTGCCTTGGCCTTTGCCAACTGTCAAGCATTTTAGACTTGCTATCTTTCGAGACTCGTGTCAGCGGCTTCAAGTTTTCGTTTGAGCCATTGGTTGCTCTCGGTTTCCTGATTCGCTGTTTGTAGACATATTCATTGGTGTTGCATGTGTGAAGGAATTTTGTGTTCGTAAGTATGTATGCATGCATATGTGTTTATATGTCTGTATGTGTCGGTACCTAGCATTGGGGTAAACTGCAAAAGAGATCCTGCATTGTGGGGGACGGAGGAGGGGTGCGTTTTTCAGCGTGGCACGCGCATTTCCCGCCCTCAACCTGTTCATGTTTGGAGGGGAGGTTTCAGGCAGTCGCAGCTTGAGGACAAGTGTCCATGTCGGAGCTCGTGCGCCAGAACGACTTGTGCCCCGCGGTCTGTGAGTTCATTTGCCCCTCAGCTGTCACATGTCACACGCTGGGCCGCCGCAGCACCAGTGCACTGCTGCTGCGCTTCGGTGCAAGGCAACATCATTACCGGGAGCTGCGACGGCAGTGAGCCGTGCTTCTCAAAAGAGCTGTGGTTGCGGAGATTTCTTGAGCTGAGCCCTTGGCGCGTCAAGAAGGAAGTTTTGAGCCAGGGCAGACTCTGTGCAGTCTAGCAGTCTAGGATTGTCTTGGACTGACACAGTTTGCCGAAAACCGGTGACTGCAGCTGGGAGAAGATCTTCGTGTCTCTTGTCTCTAATCCTGAATCATTCTAGATTCATAGGACATGCATTGGCCGCCAGGAAGCCTTTCTGTCACGCCATCCTTGACTTCTTAACTTCATCACAGCATCCAGATCACGTTGGGAACAGCGGGACCCACGACAGTCTGCATTCAGCAGAAGCAAAAGTTGCTACATCAGCAACAACATTCTTCGGTTGAGTGTCCTTGTGCCATTGGAGAATTTAAAAACGCACTACGCCAGCATGGTTACATCTACAAACAAAACATGGAATAACAGAACCGGAAGCACGCAGGTTACTTTCCCAAGAGCATTCCAGCAGCCTCGGAACGGCTTTGCGAAATATCCCGGAACGTAGTTGCCTGCGGCAACAGCATGACTCTCGACAACTCGACCTTCCAATCTCCGAAATTCAGAATTGTGCAGTAGTGGCACCGCTGCAATTTCGCGACGTCCAGCAGTGGCAGGAGCACACAGATGGCGGCAGAGGCGGCGAAACTTTACAGAGTTCTTGATTACCAAGGCCTGGACAAATCCAGGCAAAGCGTGCCTTGTGTGCCCTCGCAGTCCCGAGCATGAGCTCATTCACATTGGATACGCTCCACTCCAGTCCCACTCCGGCGCATGCTGCCTTCACTGAGTTCACAAGTCCAGTCGCACCCTGACAGTTTTTGTTAATGGTTTGCGGGTCCTCACAACAGGCGACCTCTGCCGCGGCTTTGAGCAGGGTGCAGTAGCAGTGGAATCAGGCGATCTCCTCCCAGCTACCAGGGTAAGAACCACCTGCGTGCTGCAGATGGCTCGGGCGACTTCATGCCCAATCAGAGCGGGGCACCGCATTCGCTTCAGGGGTTGCTTGATACAAGTCTTGCGAAACCATGGCAGACCGGAGGAGGTGCAAAGGGCTTCGGAATGAACAAGCTACTCCAGAATCATTGTCAAGTTTCATGTTTGCAGGAGACGGGGCGGATGCTGCAACAAAACTCTATCCTAGTGCATAGCAGTAGATGATCTCCCGACACCCACCTGGAACATGCCATAGACTCCGATACTTAGTTGCCTTAGCTTCGTGGGGAACCATGAAGGAATGCGTGCTCTGATGGCCCGTGTTGTCGGGCGAAATATGTGTAATAGGGCAGAGAGAGAGAGAGAGAGCGAGAGAGAGAGAGGGGGGCTTCCCCTTGCCCATAGCCCTGCCGAAAGAGAGGCATCAAGGTTATGAACTTTGGTGACTTTCCACTCCGAGTTTTCACGCCCTTCCAAAAGCCCCGGATAGCAAACGGGGGGGGCCTAGGGCCCGGAGGGCCTTAACAGCCCTCTATGCCCGAGGGAAGAAGAAGACAGAGAGGGAGACCCTCTCGCAGTCTTTGGTCCGTGGCACCATGGTGTCGGATGGGCACCTCTTCCGGCACTTATTCGGGTTTTTCAGGTAGCTGCCGGTAATTGCAGTCAAGAAGACGCACCGCCGCAGGTAGCATTGGCAGCTTCCTCTATACCCATGCAGTGCTGACGATTGCAACAGAGATTTCTGCCAGCCACTGCGCAACAAAGTAATCCCCAGGCAGAGCGCAAGACATCAAACGGCATTGTGCTGAAGCTGTTACATCTGCTTGAAGTGATGGGAAACCTCCATTGGCGGCTTGAAGCTAAACGCTGTCGCGCTCTAGGCGCTTCAGTGTTACACGATATATCACCATGTCCATGCTTGGTGACCTGCAGCTGTCCCAAAGCTGCGGTTCTCACTTGGCCATCGTTGAACAACAGCGGCAAGACGTAGATGCATTGTACGACTTCAGAAGAGACCTCTTCTGAGGCATCCGTTCGAGCCGACCTTACTCTCTAACCACCTCCTCAGCAAAGTTTGATCAAAAGGGGTGATGCGCGCAAGTGCGAAAACAAGAAGACGCTGAGGGGGCTGGTAACTTTTAGCCTGACTGCCAGCGAGCAGGGACTGTTGGCTGAACGCAGCTACCTAGACCGCGCAATAAAATCCGCCTGTATGTGTGTCAGAAACAAGTGTGTGTTGGAGAAGACCCAAGCACATCGCAGGCAGATTCGTAGGCTATGTAAAAGCCTGCCATCCAACGGTCATTTCTCGCTACAGCAGTCACATCTTCGCCAGGCGGGATCCTTTCAAGGCTCCAGTCTGCAGACATTGAAGCGCTCCCCAGCGCTCCCTGATCTGGCGCGAAGCCGTTTTTCAGGACCGACAACGGAACACTTTTGTTCTTTTCATTGTCTCCCGGACTTTTTAAGGCTCGGGCCCGGCCTTCGATAGCGACCGGATACCCACCTTGTGCCCGTGGAAAAAGTGGAGGGCGAACTTCATTTGTTGTCTGTTGTGTGTTCATTTGGTCCTATGCGAGTAGCTGTGGCGAAGAAATGTAGATTAAACCCACCAGACCCCACCAGATCTGTTCTTGTCTTGTATATCATGCAGGTTCTGCCACTGGGCTGCATCCAACCTTGACTCCGGAAGCCAGCATCAGGTCTCAGGAAAGAGCGGCCATTGCTTTGCTGAGGTTGGCTGGAGGCCGAAGCTTGCAACTGCGCTTGGAAACATCTGGCAGGCCCGTAGCGCGCATGTAGATGTACTTCTGAAGTATGCAGCAGACCGTGTCCGGGGTCTGCTCACCGGGAATGATGTCGTGCATGATGATGGTCATGATGATGGACACCACCGCCATCATCATCGTCATCATCATCACCATCATCAGCATCATCGCCACGAAGTGGTCGTCGGCACCATCGCCGCAGTTACGCAATCGAGATCACAATGTTTTTGTTTTAATCGCCCCCCTCCTCATCGTTTTTCATCGCCCTCGCCATCATCCGAATCTTTGTAATCTCTCGTCGTTACTTCGGCATCCTGGATCACCACTGTTGTTTTCCCCTCGGTTGCGGGTAGCAAACGGGTGTAGACTTGCCGGGCAGGCAGAGGACGTAAGTCACACTCTCACTTTCGTGTGCTAGCGATAGAAGCAGAACCGGTACTGGATCCGATCTGAAGTTATTGGTTTTTGCTGCACACGCTTCGGTAGCTTTCCAAGACTTGGTGCAACCAGTCCCAAACGGAAAGAGCACCCGAATGTTGACGATTTGCGAGCGCCTGACAAGCGGCAGCAGCCGCAAGTTTGTGTGATGGCCAGAAGATGCCGCACACGTGGTCGTTGACAGGGGCTTGTTCCGTAAGGACCTCACTAGCACGTGAATACGAGTCGCATCACAATGCTTCGATTGCTGAGAGTGAAACCAAGTTACCATCCTCGTACAGACCCCAGTTGCAGTACCCTCCAACATTAAACGCGAGCCCGGATGCATCTGCCAGTCTGGACAACGACAAGCTGTACATCCAGCTGCCGTCCTTCAACCTTTCGTCGAAGAAGGGGGTGCGCCCCATGAGACGTGAACACCAAGGGAGTGCGGAATCCGTAATGTTCCTTATGAGATTGCTGTGGCTCTCCAGATTCGAGCGAAAGGCGCTCCTGCAGCTCAGTTGTGAACTGAAAACCTTCCGCCGCCAGTGTCGGTTCATGTCAGTTCCCGAGCGACGCTAGCTTCGTACGTGTCAAGCAAGAAGTTGCGAGACTGTCGTAAGCAGCATTCGGGCCATTGGCAAAGACCCGGCACCTATCACGAAGTCCATCTATCAGCGGTGTCCATTTGCATCAGTGCAGCTGGGCTCCACTTGCGACACGCTTGCAAGAACAGCTCCATGCAAGCCGTCAGCCTGTGGCCACTGCCTCGTCATCAGCTTCAAAGAGATGTTCGTCTCTTGGCCGCACTTGGAATCTGCTTGGTTGCCTGTTGGCTCAGTAATGAAGTGCAAGTCGGATTGATATTACTAGGGCTTCGTGAGTGTATATAGGGCGCCTTAAGGTTGTGCTTGAGTATAGATTTGGCAGTGTCGCAGTGCTGTGAGGAGACTAGTTAGGACAGCCCCAGAAATCGTGTTCTCGCATGTTCAGCACACCTCGCAGAATCAATTTGATCGGAGCCGTCTGAAGATCGCTTTGTAGATTGGGATTGTGGCACGATCCCACGCGATTCTTCTACCAAGGGTGCTGTGCTTTCGGCATTGGCCCGGTGGTTCCTCCCCTCACGGAAGCAGGAGGGACGGGAAGCAGAGGAGGCAGAGCGGGGGATGGGAGAAAACCTCTCAAGTCGCACTCTACTCCACTTCTGACACAGCTCCAAGATGCTCCAAGTGCGTGTCACTTGATGCGCAGGAGCCTGCGACCCCTGCCGAAAGGCAGCCAGCGCCGCCGTCGCAGACGCAGGTGTGCGATGTGGGCCGCTCTTGCCAGAGAATGGCCAGCAAGTCCACCCTCATCTTGCACAGCGCACTTCGTGCACATGTGCAGCCAAGCCAGCCAAGCTCCAAGACACAAGCTGCTGCACTGTTGGCACAGGTCATCGCCTCGACCAATGAGGTGTTGCCCACCGCCCCGGCCGTACCACGGGAAGCGCAAGTACAGGCATGCAGCTTTATCTTCTTTCATGGCCTTTTGTCCGGAGTCGGTTCATGAAGTTCATGCATGCATGGATGATGCCGAGAGCTGGGCAACAACAGAATTTCTGGGCACTTGTTGAATGACCCTTCGTTGAAGAAGACCTCGAAGCCTACTGTGCGTACTGCTAGGCGGATATGCTGTGCCCGTCGAAGTGCCGTCAGGACACCAAGGAGCTGTCACGGCCTTCTTTGTCAGAAGCGGCCGAAGTCTCCCCAAAGGCCGGACGGACATCGATCTTCCGTTAGGTATGCGTGTCTGCACCCCACCTGCCCTGCCCAACATCCATGATCGGTTCTGCGCTGAAGCGTTCCCAACAATCTGAACGACCTATTGCTAAAGTGCTGGTTGTTGCCAGTGTCATTACAAACTGTCCGCTGGTGGTTGGCTGAAAGACTCGGTGCTGTGGAAACTCGCCACAAGGAGCCTGCATCAGCCTCCAGAGCGCTTGCGGAAGCGGCAAACTTGCGAGAGCGGGAGGCTGGAAATGACGAGCCCAAAGCTCGCAAACTAGCACAGACACACAGCTGTGCCAGGCGCTCTCCCCCGTAATGTCCCCCCCCACCCCCCCGGCNNCCCCCCGGCCCCCCCCCCCCCCCCCCAACACCCGCCCCTCGAGCACTCGGTTTCCTTCGACATCACTCATCTTTGATGTGTTTTGATTGCCAGCTGAGCTGATTCTGTTTGCGCTTAGATGCTGGACTATTCCGCAGTCGAAATTCGATGCCAGGTCGTCCAAACACTGGACACTTCCGACCAGCAGCCACCGACATCCGCGCTGCAGCAGACACAGCCTTCTGCTTCCTCAGAGCCCGCGGCATTGCTGCGATATGGAATGCTCTTGTATTCATCAAGCGGCTATGGCACGATGTGACCACGGTCCCATGAGCAAATATGAGCAACCTTTGGCTTCAATCTTTCCTAAGTTCAATGCCCTCTCCGAAGCCACGACCATTGCGTCATAACTTACTCCTATAGGTTCTAGGTAACAGCTACTTGCCATCCATGGTGAAAATGTGGGCCGCTAGGAGCTGGGAGCCGCCAGCCGGCTTGCTTGGTGAATCTGAGTCACCAGAGAATCCCAGTCACCAGACCGTCCGCAAACGACAATGCGGAGTTTACGGCGGCCCTCTTGCATTCGGTGTAGAGGCATGCGCGGCGCCGACCCTGCGAGCGGCGCCACCAGCACAGCAAAGCTTGCCCGCAGAGGCAGCTGTCGGGTTGCAGGTCGCCTTCAGAGTTGACATGCTTGCTGCAACAGCTGTTTGGCCTGCATGCATCCTGGAAAGGAGCCGTCTCGTCCAGCTTTTCAGAGTACAGAGCTCGCAGCATCTCTGCAAGGCAGTTTCTGAAAGCTCCATGGACATGGAGTCATCGAGGAAGTCGCGATGTTCTGTGCAGCCAAGGACGGTTCTTTCGAGACGAAGTTGGAAGTAGTGAAGGAGGCAGACACGCTGTATCTGCGGCTGTTGCCAGTTTTTGGAGATGCCGCTACCGCCAACAAACATGGAGAATTCCTGCCTGCTGTACCCCACGGAATCGTCTGTGCAGGCGAGGAGATCACCAGATGACGATGTCGAGGCTCAGTAGTGAGGAGAGCATCCAGCCATGCACCCACCTCTCCTCAAAACCCTCGACATGGCCTCGGTTTCATGCCAAAAGACTTAGATCGCACAAGACACGTTCCTCGTACTTGCATGGTCGCAGCTAGCCATCCGCGACAGGCAAGCAAATCTGCCACTCTGCAACGAAAGCTGGACAAAGCAAAGGAGGTAGGAGGGCGGTCTGAGTCGTGTTCGAACCATCTAGCCGCATCTAGCCTACGGGTCTGGCATTTTTACATTTCCGATGCCATGCAACTTTGCTTTTCAGACCGCGATGACAGTAAACCTTTCCGCGACGATTTCTGGCCTCTTCGCACTCGTGTCGCTGTTGCCGCACTGCAAACCCCCTGTGGCAGTTTGTGAGCGCCTGAGTCCTCGCCTGGTACTCCCGAGTTCCGAGTGGCAAAGCTTAGCTAAGCAATAACAAACAGTTGCCGGTGACCAGGTCGCAGCTTGGAAGTTTGTGTGGGTGTGTATGATGCGAATGGCGGTTCAGCCTGTGCTATGCTCTAAGACTCTGTTTCAAGGTTTGAAAGTCGTTAGTGGTTAGCTCTTTTTCGCCAAAATGGTCGGTGCGCCCAAGGGTTTCGCACCCACTCACTCCTTTTAGGGTTTCAGGGTTTCGCACCCACCCACTCCTTTTAGGATTCTGGGTTTCGCAGCCACCCGTTTCGCACCCACTCAAACCCTTTTAGGGTTTAGGGTTTCCCACCCAATAGGGTTCAGGGTTTCGTCGCCACCCTCTCCTTTTAGGGTCCAGAGTTTCGCACTCACCCACTCTTTTCGGGTTTGAGGGCTTTGTACTGTAGCCACTCACTCCTTTTAGGGTTTCAGGGTTTCGCAGCCAGCCACTCCTTTTAGGGTTCAGGGTCTTGCGCCCACCCACTCCTTTAAGGGTTCAGGTTTTCCCAGCCGCCCATGTCGCACCTACCCAAACCCTTTTAGGGTTTCGGGTTTCACACCCAATCACTCCTTTAACGGTTGAGGGTTTCGCAAGCAGCCCACTCCTTGTAGGAGTACGGATTTCGCACCCACCCACAAGAACAAGCAAGAATGCAAACAGTGCAGACGCAGAATCCTCGAGACAGTTGTTATTTTCAACCGTGAGTTTCTCGTCCGCGAAACCGGGGCGTCGATTGCTGTCCTCCGACCATGTGCCAAATCGTACGCGCCTGCCAGCAAAACGAGGCCCCGCCCGGCTCAACGGATCATTTTGCGTGTTCCTTTTGTGCCCCCGGCTGCGCGGCTTCGTCCTAGCCAGGCGGGAGGCAAAACCTATACCACTCACTGCACACAGCTGACACGGTGCCAAGAAACAATTTCGCATGCACAACTTGAAGTTGTCCTGTCATGGGAGATTTGCGAGCATAAGAATCTCTGGTAATTAGACATAGGCGCCAAGGTTCAAACAACTAGGCGAGCAACGCCTCCTGCCCGTCTTTTGACACAAGCGCACATAGTTTGACACAAACTCTTTCTGGATCTAGAAGTCTGGGACTCGGTGCAAAAGAAGAATAAGGTGGTAGCTCTCCGCGCATCTTGCCGTTCACCGGGAGAGATGTCGGGACGACTTAAACATGACCGAATGCAGGGCTCATTTTGTGTCGCTTCATGTCTCGAAAGTAAGTGAGAGAGAGAGAGAGAGAGAGAGAGAGAGAGAGAGAGACAGACAGACAGACAGAGTGAGTGTGTGTGTGTGTGTGCGTCTATGTGCGTGCGTGTGTGTGTGTGTGTGACGTGTGTGTGTGTGCGCGTCTGTCTGTCTGTCTGTCTGTCTGTCTGTCTGTCTGTCTGGTCTGTGTCTGTCTGTCTGTCTGTCTGTCTGTCTGTCTGTCTGTCTGTGTTTTGTGAACATCTCTGATCAGTGTCAATTCAGTTTCTGCCCGCATCGTAGGTCAGCAGCAAGTCCGCAACTCTGCAGAAGAAGTTGAAGGAGGCGAAGGCAGTCGGAAACATTAGCGAGTCTCATTCTGCCGTAGCTCAGGCATGCGATGCAACGCGCACGTCTCGATTTTATGCGGATTCGAGCAGCTGCAACACGCGCAGTGCTGCAAAGATGTGATCCTACATGGCCAGGCCGGCAGGGCAGCCAGCCCTGCAAGGGCTGAAGCGCAGCCGGTAGCGGCAAGTTCTGAAAGCTCAGCAGCGACCACAGCCGCTTCCCCTGATCCTTGTTGGGTAGCAGGGGTGCCTGAATGTCCAATCGCTGCTGTAAGCAATCTGTACATCCTCGCCGTGCTACTCAGCCATGCAGCAAAAAAACAGGTCAGTAAAACCGCTATCCTTCAGAAGAAGCTGGACGAGGCCAGGATGCTGACTACTGATGTACTCGTTACACGCGTACACCCTTGGCCACCCCCTCTCCAGCTGTTGGCACATCCAGGCACGCAGATCTGTACTCCTCAAGACAGCAGCCGAAGAGGCCCCGAGGGTGACCCAAATCACAGAGCTTGCCGTATCACCATGTCATGTGTATGACATGCATGCTTTGGGAGAGGAAGATGGGCGCTAAAGTATAGGACACGTATAGTAGAGAGTACAACGCCCTCTGCCAATAATCATGTTTAATTTGACTGTCGTACACGAAGTGCGTAATGGATACAGGACGTCACAGGACCATGAAGGGTGACAGCGCGAGACCGGAAAGCCCATGATCGTAGCTTGTAGGCCCGGCGTTGCCCTCAAAGTGGCAGCTCCGGCGACTGCCTTGCAACGGCTGAACGTTGCCAGACGTAATTGGCTGGGAAGAGAAGTGCGAATGATGTTCGTCCTGTTCTGCATGCTCACAGTCTGCTGTACCAAAACAGCAGCAGACTGCACTACCGAACGCTCTCTTTTGTGCTGCAACGGGCTACAGAGCGGTTCGCCGAAGGTTCTTCGTTCAAAAGTTGAACCTGCCTCTTAAAGAGCAGTTCGCCTCTTTCGGGCATTGGAAAAGCCTCTGCCGCCATAAGCACATGCAATCAAAACACACCGAACAACAAACGAAAGCAGTGTCGCAAAGTAGGGGTCCAGTCCTACCGGGGGAAAGGAGCCGATCTCGTTTTTCGGACCCAGTCGAGAGTTGGTCTGACATCCCTCGTCTATGTTGCCTCGTAGGCGGAAAGATAAACGAATGTGGGATGGAACACCCGATGTCGGCTTCACGACTCCATCCAAATTCCCCACAACCCACTGTTCTGGGCAGCTGGTTTTGCTGCTGCTATAGGCAGCATGTTCAGGGCGGATCGCCCGATGCAACCATCGGGGCTTACCCGCCTCTGGGGTTACAAATAAAAGATACTGCCCTGCGGCTGAATGCGTTTCGCAGCCGGTAAAGGAGGGTTTGTGCTTCCAGCAGTGCCCTCAGTCTCTGCTCCCTCAGTTGGCAACGAAGAGCTCGAGGGTTGATCGTGTGCCAGCAGCGGTGGTAGAACACGGTGGCGAGGAGCCCGCGCTCGCAGGGGGCGAGGTAGCCGACTTTGAAGCAGTGCATTCTCAGGTGTTTCCTCCACTCTCGCCTCCAGGTAGTCCAGAAACTGCTGCATCGTGATGCAGTCCACCACCTCTGCAGTCGTCCAGGCGCCAGATCCTCCGCCGAAGAGTATCCTTGACCAGCGAGAGCTGCCACGGAGCGAGCGGACCATTATGGCACTGTCCCTGATACCCATCCTGCACTGAGCAAAATTTCTTGATACAAAAACATTCGACTCATTCCTTTGCTATGGCTGACGAGCAACTCTGGGCTGACTCGACAGCGTGACACACCTTCCGGGCGAGCGGTGAGAAAGCCAGAAAACGCCCCAGCAGACCTTACAAAGTCAAAACACAGCAAATGCATGCTTGCGTCCTGGCGGCAGCCAGACCAGGCACGAAGAAACCCAAAAATTCGGTGCAGCAAGCCAGCAAGAGGCGGAACCGATCGTGTTTCTTGACCTTGACCAAACAAGTACGCGTGGATGGCCACCTTTGCCAAAGCTGACAAGGGCTTGTCTCGGCGAGCCGCCGGGACCGCGGCACTTGATCTACTTCTGCTCAAGTGGCCTTCAGCGAGACAGTGGTGCCCAACATGATGCAGATACAGTTGGACGGAAGGACAGACTATACAGACTAAACTAGGCCATTCCAATGGCAGGCCGCCTCCTCTGGTCTTGCCAGGGTCGATCTCTGTGCTCATCTATAAAGGGCTGCTTTTGCCTTTGCCTACTGTCTGCTTTCGACTTAGACCTTTCACATCTTAAGCTCCGCAGAAGCAGCAAATTCAGAAAGTTGATGCACATTGCCACAAGCAGAGACGGAGGTGCCGGAGAAAGCTATGCAGGCAAACGAAGATGTGGAAATGCAAGAATCCCTGGAGGCCGCGAGGGTCCTTCAAAGCTTGGCTATCAGCTGCAAGGCCAGGAATGTGTCTCTTCAAAGATCTGATGCAGGAAAGCACGTTCAAGATGAAGACTGGAGATGAGGCGGCAATCAAAGCCACTTCGTCGAGGCCCAGTTCGCCGGACAAGCAGGCAAGTGATTCAGTTTACGGGCTCCACGGAAACCACCACGTATTGGTGAAGCGCTGGTCTTAAGTGCTATAGACTCGACCGACAGACTTCTTGAGTCTGCGAGAGAGAGAGGGAGAGAGAGAGCATCTCTCGTCGAGGGGCAACCCTCGGCTGTAGCCCTGGCGAAAGAAAGAGAGAGAGATGCGTGTTATGCGGTGAGTCTCTTGTAGGTTCTCGTCAATGTCGTTTAACTGTTTTCCCGTGAACGCGGCTTGCTAAGTGCAACACTGAGCCCTTTTTCCGTTTGTTTGCCCAGTGCGGTGCAATGATGCATGGACTGAGTTTTACTGGGCGAACTCGCGCAAGGGCAGGGGTTGCTCCGATGTCCTCTATCCTAGCGAACGGAAGAAAGGGGGCGATCGTTGTCCTGCCGCTACTTCCTTTGGAGAGGGGTTCTACTGTAACGCTTGGTTCATGGTCTTGCTCAGTCGGGCTACATGTGGGGGAACGGCAGAGCTGAGCCCCGTAGCATAGTCTCAGGAACGGACGGGAACCATGCAAACCTTGGGGGTGGGCCTTCAGGGAGCTTGCTGTCATACGTGCAAGCAAGCAAGCAAGCACTGCAGGGACACGCAGAGAAAGAGCTCAGAAACACAGCAGGACCCAGCAGGTAGTGCCGAATGCACGGAAATTTCAAAGCCAAACAAGGCACAAAACTGGGGGCGGCTGGGAGGGCCTAGGCGCCTAAGAGTGGCTAGCGGACCTCCATGCCCACCAGAAAGAAAGCAAAAGAGAGAGCGGCCTAGTTTAGAACTCTGTCAGGCATGTGCGAGTGGACAGCATGGGTGGTGCGCCAAGTACGGGTAGCCACGCCCGAGTAGTTGTTTTGCAGAAAAGTTGGGATGGGAGGACTTCGGTTAAGCCCGTCAGCAGTCCCGGAAACCATGTCGCGACTCGCACTTGCGGTGTCTACCATGTCAGTGGCTTTGCATCCGTAATGGAGAGGACAACATGGAGGCCAGGGTTGCGGACATGATGGAGCTGCAGGAGGCTGCAAAGAGTCGCAGGCGAGGAGTTGTGGAGAAGGCCAAGAGTGTCAATCGAGGAGAAGGAAGCAGCGCATCCAGGAGGGAGAAGAGGACAGCTGATGACATGGAGGAAGCCCCGGGGGTCATGGGCTGCGGACAGTTCGTGTGAACCCGTCTTGCGATCTCTTGTGCTCCTTGGAAGGGACATCCTCTGCAAAGCGCAAAGCCTGAGTGTCCACCTGTCAACCCAGCTCGCACCGAGTGCAGGAAACAAGAACACCCAAGAAGAAACGCGACGAAGAGACCAAGGGTCAAGAAGAGCCTCGTCAGGCTCAGTTCGCTCCGCACTGGACACGGTTATTTCACAAGGCTTGAGATGTGAGGAATTGTGAGGAGCTTTCAGGGCTTTGATGCGGCAGGTGCGCAGAGCCTCCTTGTTCTTGAAGGGAGCCAAGAAGATGACCGCAGGAAGCGCACCACAAAAGCAGGTGCGGACTGAGATATCATCCACGATGCCCCCTCCACAGTTGCTGTGCAGGCGGTTGAATCCGAATCTACGGATCATGGGAAAGATGCCCCAGCGTCACTTGGTTGGCGTTCTTGTTCGTGTGAAGGCGGGATGCGGCCAAGCGTGCTGAGGAGAGAGCGCGGTGCTCGCCCGAAAGCCTGGAGCAAGCCTGCTGCACAGGCCAGATTTTGCACACCACCGGAGTTTCGGAGGCTTGCAGCCGCCTCACTGCACAGTTGGTAGGGGCGGGCTGCAGAGCAGAGCATATGCGCAAGCCACTGCAAGCAGTTATGTGCAATCACGATTCCACACAAGCAGATCGTGCTGGCATTTCGAGATTGGGTACATTCTACACTTACGAGAAGCGTTAAACCCTGTGTAATTTCGCTGGCGTGTGGTCAAAGCTTCCTTGCCAGGACGATGTGTCTCTGGACACCGGAGCCGAAGAGCGTCCATTCAACGTTTTCCGGGCGAAGGCACTGTCCGTGGTACATCTTGGCTGCATTGTACTTAGTTCGTGGAAAACGCGCACTCGGGCCCAGGTTGACGTGTCAGATGGCTTTGCAGATTCTGGGAAGCACCTTGGCAGAACTCCAAGCGAAGGACGAGAATGTCGCATGAGTTCGTGATGGTGACCGCATACAGTGCGAACACTCTGTTAAACAGGGTGTTCGACTCGATCATTCAGGATAAAATTGTGATTCTGAAAACAACGATTCCGAAAACGACAGGGGCTACCCTGCTGTGTGACACAGATAGGAACGAGTTAGCTATGCCATGCTTCGGGAACTCCAAGACTGAGGCTTCCGGCATGATTACAGTAAGGGCAGCAGTCGGGTCCCTGACGACAAATCAAGATAAGGGTTGCAGGTTCAGGGTAGCTACCCGCTAGCTGGCGTTTTCTTGCACATAAACGACCCAATCCCCTTGACAAGACCATGCCTGCCTTTCTTGTACCAAGCTGAAAGATCTTTCTTTGTCCGCCACTCGCGAGAATGCGGCGTCATGTCAACGTCTTGGAACATGTGCAGAGCAAACGAGAGCCTTTGAACAAGAAAATGCTGCTAACTTGTGGGTCTTCCACATTTGGAGATGACATGCTTGCGTCTGGCCTGTCCCCGCCCGACATCTGCCAGGCCAAAGACGCAGCCACAGAGCAAGCCGCCAGACTTCAAGGAGAAGGAGTTTACAGAGGGTTGTCTAGCAGTTTACTTCGCATGCTCGGCTCTTGGACAGCATGTTGTTTTGCAGCAGTTGCGAGCAGGAGAGTGAGGAATCTGACTCGTCGCCTTCGCTGCTTAGATGCAAGCGGCATCTCAGGAGGTTGATTATGTTTGAGAGGCGGTGACGCGGAAGGACACAACTGCACCAGCACCAGCTCAACTCGCATTTTGGGCAACAGGGTCGGCTGGCATCTGTCATCCGCGAAGAAAGTAGTAGTTCGCGATGTAGCAGCACATGTGCATGATACATCTTTGTTCTGCTGCTACTGCTACTATTACTACTACTGCTACTACTGCTACTACCACTACTACTACTACTACTACTACTACTGTGGATGGGGGAAATCTTGGACCGCTTTTAAGAAATGATATAGAGCTTCACCCCACGCCCCCTTTTGAACATTGCTATGAACACGAGGTTTTACAAAATCGT